GTAAAAACAAGTGACAGTCAGATGAGACAAACTGTATTCTACAGCCAAAGAGTTCCATTTTTAAATGTTGTAATTACTTTTTAAATATTGTTTATGTAAGTGGCCAGTTCCGGAAACTTATAGTGCGCCCTATGTATAAACGGCTTGAGAGAAAACTCCATATCAACATCTTTTTTTATACTATTCTCAATACGGACATACTAGTAGCCCCGCCCGTAGTAGTGCACCCGCCCCTTTACTGTAATTGCCTAAACAAAATTAAATGTAAATTTTATTTACATGTAGGATAGGTATACGTTACTTTGGAATTTAATTATGTTTGTTATGTAAGAGTTAATATACTTTGTACAACTATTGATCTGCTAGATTTGGTTAAATGTGTACCATTTCCTTTTGGTGAAAGCTGTATCAGGAGATCTCGAACAGTTCTACAAGCAAAGTTTATTAAAACCGGTATTACTGTATTACACATATACATAAATAATTTCTTTAATCTATTTTGTTAGAAGAACAAAACGTTACTGTGATTTTTTATGTGTTTATTAGACTAACACATTATTAAGAGCAACACATTTATTGTTTAAAACTAGATTTTGATTGATTGGGTTTATGTTTTTCTTAGCATTTGGTATTTTTTTTAGGAATATCGATTACCATACAAAATCATTTCATGTTTTCTATATCAATAAGTTTCAGACCTATGTCTATGATGCCAAAAATGATTAGAATTGATAACAATAAGGTTTAGACGTACTTTTACTGTTAATCTTAAAATTTAGATACCGAATATCTTTTTTTTTTTAGAATATCAAGTGACGGGACGAACAAGTTGTGCACCTGATGGTAAGCTACACGCCTGTCCATAAGAGTTGCAGTGGCACTCAGAGCTTTAAATCGCAAAGATCTGAGGGGCACTGCCACTGCGCTCGTCACCCTAAGATATAAAGTTGACAAGTCCCATGTGTCTGTAATTTCACCAGCACCCTTCTAAACCGGAACGCAGTAATGCTGACATTACTGCTTGGCGGCAGAAATAGATAAGGTGGCAGTATCTCCCTGGACGAACTCTTTCACAAGGAGATCTACCGCTGGTCTATCAAATTATTTCTTAAAATCAATTATCACAATGCAATTTCTATCGTATCAAGATTTAACTTTGATTATTTATTACTGTATTCATTTTATTTTTATTTTTTTTAATGACGTGTAACATAATGTAAATGTGACTTATAATGTATTGTAAATGGAATGCTACGTACTGTTTATTTTATAATTAATCTTGAATGACATAATCACTGACTTGAAATGTAATATAATGTATAATGTTCGTTTTACAATTGTTGAATGGTATAAACTGACTCGTAACGTACAACATTGTTACCTATATTGTAAATAATTATATTTCTTCAATCATTAATGATTGATTATGGAATTGAATATTGTTAACTAGGTGCGTTTATGTTTTATACATGGATTTTAACGATGTTGTCTTATCATTTATTATATTTGCGAGAAAATGAAGTCAACAAATCTCTTCATTTACTTTAAAAATGTTCTGCCCAGCATAGCATCTAAAATAATTTTAATATAGGTGCAATGTCTTCAATACGTAAATACAATTAACCTAGATAAATGTGACAAATATAACAGTAGTTAATACTCTGTTAATGTCGAGCGAAGTTCGAGACCACTTAAAGCATTACGTGATGAGAATATATGAAATTATTGGAAACTAGACTTACACTTACAGTTAGCTATACTTTTTATGATTTATGTTTGGTAATGCTTCAAATCTATAAACAGGCGGTTAATTAATAATGAAAGCCTTAAGAGTGATAAGAAAAATAAGTACAGTCATATACATGAGATACCTGATCCCCTAACATGCCCAAACAGACCTTTTGGTTCTGAGAGCCATCTTACGTATTGAACAAAGAAAATTAAAGCAATTTCAGCTTTATTGCGTGAGCAATACAATGAAGTGTTGCTAATAAAATAGATGATCAACATATTTTTAAAACCAATTCTAAATTTCGTCATTTAACATCCAAGTACATAAATTGGTCGAGCGGCTTGTTGTATGGATTGCCAGTTACAATATCCGTGGTTCGATTCCACGAGCACTATTTTGTTTTAACGTTATATTTTTGACAGCATTGTTTCACATTTAACCGGTTTCAAAAAAAATAAGAAGGTTCTCAATTCGACTGTATGTTTATTTTTGTACGTATGTTACGCGATAACTCTGGTATTTCTGAACCGATTGTCATGATTCTTTTTTTGTTGGAAAGGGGGTACCTTCATAGTGGTCCCATTTAATTTTGAAGAAAATTATCCACCTCTAAGGGTGGTTGTTCACGCATGAAGACTCATTTTTATAAATAGCGCCTAAATTTTATTAGAAAGAGCAATTATTTTAATTATTGATTTTGCTATTATCCAATTTAAGGCCTTTTTCTCTCTCAATATACTTTGTAATGAGAACCGATTTTTATTATCTCCTGAGTCAAGTCCCGTATAGTGACGAACTTGGGGATGAATCCGGGTTTGCGCACTTTCCAGTAACCGATTTCAATAAAACTTGGTAATTATATGTAATTCGACGTACTTTTGAAGTAGGTTTTTTTATTACTCTGTACTGAGACTATGTTATTTAATGTTAACGTTGGCAAATCACAATATTTGTTCATTACAAATTGTCTAAGGTGAGTGGGTAGATAATATTAATAAAGCGTATGGTGGGTATGGATAAATTAACAAATCACGAAATCACTCTGCAGTTTGCATACGAGCGTGTCTTCTGCGATTACTCATTGTTCCACGTTTCGTTCCAATTTATCAATTCAGTTTTAATTACTTTCAAAGTTTTCTATCGTGTTTTAATATGCCGCACTTAACGGAATGATTAAAATTAGACATTATTGTTCTGTATGAACAAGACTTAGACATTCCTTACACCTATCCAGAGGTTAAAAAAAAAAAAAACAATATTATACAGCTAAATAATATTTTATTTTTAATGTGACTCGAACCACACTTGCCTCAACTTGCAAAGCAATCCTTATATACTATAGCTGGTTGAAATTTGTATTCTGTATTTAAGTAAGATTATACGTTGAAGATCCAGTTAGCTTAAAAACTTTCTTACAATATCATTCACTAATGAGACGACCAAGGAGTCATACCAAAATAAATTTTACGACTCACAGGTTAAAGATTAACTTTGTTTAAGAATTTTCTCCACATTTTTGTGCTCAGAACCAAAAGCTCGACAAAGTCGGCTTGGGGTGTCAAGTATCTTGTGTATATGACTGTACAATTTAAATAGAGCGTATATGTCTGGATTGCCCAAAAAATCACTTAACGATTTTGCGTAGGTATGTATTGAAAAGAATATAAATACTAAAGCCTAAGGTGTCCATGAGATAGGAAATAGCTTGCATAATGCACCTATGACTATAACCATATTAAAATAAAAGAAGTATGGTAACTCTATACAAAGTAACGTCTTGTATACGCGTGTGACCGCCGCACACATTGGCATAATAATGAAAGGCGCGTTGGAACGACCAACGTCATACAACGCAAGTGCATCGCGAGATTATGCGAATGTGTGCGTCCATACACGGCGCGCGGTAGGCGTGCACACATACAAGCCCCACTGCTACGTACGGAGTTACCATACTTGTCCTATTATACTATGCTATACAGGTACTCCTAAAACCCTAAACTCCTAAAAAGTACGTAATCCGTGAAGTGATTCGAACCCAGACCATAATATTATTTTTATGATTGCGTAAACACTCATATTCAAATATATTATTTTCATACAAAATAGATGCCATACTAGCTTGGGCCTGAAGTATGTAATTGTATTTAGTAATTGTAATTCTCGTTGGGCGTTTAGCGCTTTTCCCATTGTACGTTGCTGGGTCTTAGGAAGTTAATTTCAAGTTACGTACATTTGTGATACTTGTGTAATATCTACAGGAAAGTGAAGAACATATCGTGATGAAAATTTTGTATGTCGATGTAGTTTCACAACCTTTGAAACACGTGTATGATGAGGCAGTCAATTTTATCAACCACAATTTTTAGAATGCTGTTGGGGCGCCCGCGCACACGTCGCCAAAGCGAGGCAACCCGCTTTCTCAGAATGGCATGAAAGTCATCTGTGCGTGACTCAGTGAACATGCCTGAAGCGCTACAGTGTCGTGGTAACCCCAACAACATCCTAAACGCGTTGTTATATTTACTCAACGTATTTAGGGTCACCTTATTATACTTCACTCACAGGCTACACGTGTAGAAGGTTTGACAGTATGCTTTAAAAAGCGTTAATTTTACCTCCCCACTACAACGTGCAAACTTGCGGGCGAGCATATTTGCTCTGACTGCAAGGGCTCTCCGTTCTCTCTCTATATCCACCAGATCGGACTGATCATCCGTCACCCAGTGACCCAGGTATTTAAATTTAAAAACTCTAGTAAGCTCACTGCCACAAAGGGAGACCGACGGTACAACGCCCACTTCTCCACCTCGCGGCTTAAACACCAGGAGCTCACTTTCCTTATATATTGTTGTTGTTGTTCTAGATGACTACACTAATCACCGAGTCTCAGACTAGAAAACTTTCTGTATTCTGTATTGAAAATTTAAAGCTCCGCCTCCGCACAGATTTCTAGGCCAGTTTTGAAAATTCGTTTGTTCAACTGATATAATATCATCATGTTATAAATAAGGTATAAATTTCAACGATCTGAGACGCAAAGACAAATGCGCTAACATACTTCGAGTTTGGTCATAGAGGAATCAAATTTATACCTTATAACAATTGAAATAGCATAAAATATTAATTGATAAATTTAATCTCCTCTGCCTTTCCGTCCGTCAATTTGCGCTCACCCTAAATGAGGTTCCATATGTAACACCTAGGATTTAGGTACTGAGATCATTCATGTAGACTAAGAAAGATCAGGAAGAAACATGTGTTAACTCACCCTATAGTTAGAGAGATGATTAACTACGCAAGTGAAGTGCACATCTCGACCTTGGGTGACTGTATGGTTCTCCAGGGCTTGTAGAAATTCCGGCTCTGGTTCTTCCATTTGGATGGGCATCTCACCTATTTAGGGAATGTAAAAAAAATATATTATGTAGTGGCTGTCGTAGTATTAAATTATTGAAAATGAAAAATTAAAAAAGTTTATTTCAGTTTTTTAGTTGCTTTTATATAAGGTTGGAACTTCCTAGTAGGTGTCATCCACCTGTGACAAGAAGTCCTGCTCTTTCGCTATCCTTTAGTTGTAGGAAACAAACTCAATTTAATAATATTTTTTTTTTAATTAAGTAACAAAACTATTTAAACTAATTTTACTAGGATACAAATGTTTATTTACCAATAGGTTCCATTAGGATTTATTGTACATTCTTCTCAGAAGAACCTCTTTTTTTTTTTAAAAAAAAGGTAAAAAAAAGGTTTTTAAAAAAAAAAGAGGTTCTTCTGAGAAGAATGTACAATAAATCCTAATGGAACCTATTGGTAAATAAACATTTGTGCCTTACGAATGAGTAGAAGAGTTTAATACGTATGACGAAGTGTAATTTGCTTACCTTTGATATAAAGATTATTTATTTATTATTAATACAAGCTAGAAATTTTATTGGTGTTGAAACTATAGAGTAAACAAAGTATAAAATAACAAAATAAATGTACAAAACAACAAGTACCTACAAATAATAAGAAACTTATGTTTTTATACCTGAGTGGGTATTGTGTGTGAATACATTAAGTGGTGATTATGTTCTCCATTTCTTCAAAATTAAGTGTCAACAACCAATATGTCAACGCTTGTTTTCAACAGTTGCACAAGTATAAACGGTAAATATTTATTTTTTGGATTTAATAATTTTTAATTTTTAAATAAATTTAATAATTAATAATTTAACATTATATAGATGTGTCACTCAAAGTGAAAACTAAAACAATGCCTTTGTGTTCATGGCATTAGTTTCTCTTTATGGTGGCACTTCACATGTTATTTATATTTGCGTATTAGATATGTTTGGCAAACAATCACCATGTGTAAACAGCTATTCGACAAATATAGCAAACACCAAACACGCGTTGTCGTGCGTAGTTCGGTTTTTCGACGCACATCAAAGTAGTCAAATAGGCTTATAGCGCAAGTAAAGCGTCCACACTACGGTCATTTTCATTATTTTAACACCTTATTCCGCCCCACGTCTTGTCATATTTGTCAGTGTCTGCGTGTTTGTCTGTACGTCAAATATTTTTCCATGTACAAAATTACGTCTATGATGTACAACAAATTAGTAGCGATTACAAATATCCATGTGAGTGCCACCGATAGAGTTTTGGCTGTGGGGTGTGTGAGTTGATAAAATAATTCCTATGTTAAATTAATACCTGTAACAAATACGGTGAGAAACGTAGCCAGCCACCAGGCTGCCTTTGTCCGCGACGGGCTCATGTGTCTGCCGGTCAACCGCCTGCAAGAAACACACCGATTAATGTAGAGATCTAGAAGGGACTGGACAATGTTCTTATCTATTCAAATGACAGACGCGCGAACGCAATGTCAGTTTGACAGGTGACTTTTTGATTTTTTACATTAGTAACGCCGATAACCCGCGTGTATTATTTATAAACACTTAATAAGAACACTTAACGAGCTATTTAGTTGTATTGTATTTAGTTGTGATTACAATTTGCCAAATTTATTTTCGAATTTACGAGTACATGGAACACTGTTCAAAATTTTCATAGTATTTTACGCTTTAACTCGTAACCACCAGTTTACTAGACATATTTAATATAAACGCGTTTTTAAATACCTATCGATTAACACTAGAATCATATGAAAATATTGTGATTTTCTTCATATAAAAAATAAACAAGAAACCGTCTCTGGTACCTGTGAGAAATTGATTAAAAGGTAGGAAGAAAATTGACGAGTCCTGTCAAAATCCACAATGTATTGATCTGAAAATGATTTTAATTCAACCTATATTGAGTAACGTTTTGTGTTTGAGCGATATTTTACTCCAAATGGCATTTTTTACATTTCAATGTACAAGTCAGAGTTAACAAGGTGCAATGACCTCTCGTTGATAGTACATTGTGTATTTAGGGCGGTAAGTAAGAAATTACTAACGAGAATTTATTAGAATGACTCGAGGTTTGTAATGTTTACCGCCTGTGCTACATACATTTGCGAGGAAATAGATACAACGATAATTTATTTCTTGTATGAATAAATATCGCTTCGCAACACAACATTTACGGGTTTTGCAAATGGCGGTTTTTTTTTTAAACAATTTGCCGACTATTCTTCCATAGATCCAACTCGAACTAAAATGTTATAAAAGGCAAAGACACATGCAGCCACAATGTATTAAATATAAAACAAATAATTTCCAAATTATAAAAATACTGCAGAATTTGAATTCACAAAATAATATCGAGTTCTTAGGTTTTCGCGATTGTTACACATAGGAAATGAAACAATTTTTCTGGATTTAAATCGCGTATATTTGTTTTTTCAAACATTCACAAAATAATTATTAATACAAAGATCGAACACTTAGAAAAAATTCCTTAGATCCGGCCGGATTCGAACCGACGTCTTCTACTTTATTGTGGCAGACGCTATAACAACTAAGTCACGGAACAAACCAGCGGACCTCACGAATTTTTCTATGTGCTTGCGTCGCATCTTTGTATTTGGTTTTTTCAACGACTTTTTAGTCGTAGCGCCATCTATGAGACATCTATGAAAGTTTTATAACCCAGTTAGATATCTTTACAGTTACTAGCCCTGGCGAGTAGTGGACACATGTCACCACACTAAAGTTATCGGTAAAACAGTTGATCAATCGGGTACTGATATTTACTGGTAACTATTATAGTTATCAGGTACGTTTAAACGTGAATTACACCTGCCACGGCGCCTGGTGACTACAGTTATCAGGTGGACTATGAATCTAAGTCTTTAGATAAGTTCGGAAGTATATTTTTGGATTGTATGCAGGCAACATGTATTCATTTTCTTTTCAAGAAACAAAATGAGTCCTCATAAAAAAATACTCTAAACCGAAACTGTTTAAACATAAGAATATGAATAAAAAAGAATTATCCAAATAAAAGTGTGATAAAATATATTGGAATAAAAAGGACCGTCACAATAAAATGATGAAACGAGCACAAATTTTTCCATACAGCGAACAAAGCCACCTCAAAGTTAAAGGAACGGAAGTTCGTTATAATTTTTTTTTTCGTAAAACTTTCTAAGCCATCACCCGTAATAATTATCTCCTTCCTCAAAATAACAAGAAATAGATCAACAAAGACATTTTCTTCAAGGAGCCTTCTGCATAATATTTTCATTTTGAAAACATATTATTTAAAAATAAAAGTCGGTAAGAATGTATCCAAATTTAACCAGTGAAATCGGTTTATGCGTTGAAATACGATGACTTTAGGATATTTTTATCTAAAAGATACAAAACTATTTCTTAATTAAGACGATTTTATAAACGTTACCATAGATGTAGAATAAATTTTGTTAGTTAATACTGCACGAGTTAATCCTATTCGTTTTGGCGAATAAAGTCAAACGAAGCAGTTTTCATAAGCAATCATCGGGTAGGCCGGGTTGTCCCACAAGATTCAATTACTGGGCCGCTGACGCGGCGTCACAACTTTATTACGCCACTGGTCCCGTAACGCCAAGTGTCCTGGTCAAGCCGTGTTTTCCTTATGATCTTGGTATCTATTCGAATTGGCTGAAAAGTGAACATTGGCTAGCTACCCTTGCTTATAGATATTTGCGATACTATGAATATTTAAATAGCATAAGATCTTCCTCTGGCTCGTCCTACTCCGTAATCTGGAACACTACGGTACGGTAGAAATATATGGGTCTATTGCACTGTATAGATAGACAGCTGTACCACTAGTGTTCCTTTTTTTTTTGAATAATTAATCTGTTTTCAAAAATATAAATTTAGTTAAAAAAGCGTTTAGAAATCGTTATAAAATCTCTTCGTAACAGGGTTATACTTACGCATTTTATTTAAACAATATTTGTATTTGTTCGATCTTTGCATCAATAATAACAACTAGTTTTATAATTTGTAAGTATAAACTACTTTGTTTTGATTTTGATTCCGTGATTTCAGAGGGAGATGTTATCCACTCTACGTGTATTACTTCCTTGAAGTTAAGGTAAATATACCTTGTCTATTCTGATTTCAGTTTGTAATATCTTTAATGTTTGAACCACGATTTCACTTGAATTGTGCTCGTGGTTCCTTCATACCTTCATAAGTTTGTACCAATATCAATAAAGCTATCAAGGCAATGCGAAACCAATTTTCAGACTTCGTCTCATACTCTTTCAATTGTATTTTGATTCAATTACTGCAGTGCTGACGTTGCTTCACAACTTTGTCGACACTTTAATCTGCGCGCTCTCATTTCCCGTTCCGCACTCTTAAAAATTAGAGGCAAGATTTTGTATGCACCAAAACTGTACGAGAATTCTGCTCGTTTCTTTAATGATGCTAAGTGATATAAAAGCAAAAATATATCTTCGACAGATAAAGGCTGTCTCTACAGTAAAGCTCTTAACAATAATCCCGTATAGTATTTGTAAAATTCTTTTGATTAATTTGTAACATAAACGAATTCTGCCTGTCAATAACCATAGCGCACAGGAGCCAGTTGATAATAATTATAATAAAAGGTGGATGCCCTCGGGGAAATTTGTAAACCCGAGAGTCAATGACTACTATCGAGATAGAACCGTAAAGGAACGTATTCCGTACCTATTAAACAGCTTTCCAGAGACATGAAACCATAAAATGTAAATTTATAAAAATGTTGAAAGATTATTGTTTCACAAATTTTTGTTAGGGGTTTGACGACATCCGTCGTCGAATGGCTTTGGCACCGTAATAAAGTACATTAACTTCTTTGTTTTTTAAATGATAGAAAATCAAATGAAACTGCTACCTATTACGGTTTTAATTTAGAGCTGAATGGAACAAAAGTTGAACGTCTTGAATGTTCACATTATTTTAGAACAAAGTTTTATTTATAAACACGCATACGCTTCGTTTCACAGACTATTAGATGCTAACGCATTTCACATTTTAAATGTCTTGGCTTGCCGCCTTGGAGTTTGATTCTGTCAATGTATTACATTATTTGAGAACCTCTATGGTCGAGTAGCTTGTATACTGGTTTTCAAGGTGTTGCCATCTCTGAGGCGCCGGGTTAATGTAGAAAAACTTTTCTTATCTCGGGTCTGGGTGTTTGGGGTATCGTCGTTGTTTCCGATCTCCATAACACAATTGCTTTAGCTACTTACTTTGGGATCGGGGGGGCCTACCACAACCTCTTAAAACAATATTACTTTAACCTTACATCGACTTTTCGTACCATGACGCGCTTCAAGTAAGCTTATTATAATGTTAAAACTATGAAGTTTTATTGGCAGCTTTGTAACTATTCATTCACTCAGTTCGTAATATGACGCGACTTTAACATTAAAGTAATATTTCTTCTTATGTCAAATTTAGCAATCTTAAAATAGTTACTCGGACGCAGTGGAAACAATATTACTTTAGAATTTAACTTATGTCTAAGTATTGATTTGGAATTACTAAAAGTTATGTTGAACTTATTTATTTACATAAATCTCTTCAATAGTTTCTTTTTTTATTTAATAGTACATAGGAAATAATTTCTCGTTAATAAAAATACGCGATGTTTATTTCGTAAAATTATAACAGCGACATCTATATGCTCCTTGGCGACACTAAAAGTTGACACTAGACTATAATTCCGAATTTACAACGTAACTATCAAGACTCAGCTTGTTTTATATAGTTTTCTTCATGAAAATGCGCAAAATAAAATTAAAAAGAAAGTAATTTTAATAGATTAAATTGTTACATACGTTTCGTTTTTTAACAGTTAAAATTCTCTGAATATAAATAACATTAAGTACTTAAACATGGTAGTAAAATACCATAAGATGATTCATTATGATGAGGCATTATATAGCGTTATTTCTTTCCTATTTTTAGTAAGGAATAGACAATATTGGGAAATCATTCGTTCTTTCAATCACTTTAGCAATAATACATTACTTGGTTGACAGGTTTGTCATGGTACGAATATGAATAATCATATAATAAGCTTGCTTTATGCTTACGTTGAAATAAGATTGTTTTTGGAAAGGTTTTGGTAGGCCCCCAGAGCATCGTATGTGATGTTGTCTAATATTTATTAGTTAAATAGTTAGTCATTTTTCTTTTTAATCGTGCTAATTATCAGTTTATAACCTTTTGTTCAACTGCGACTCATTTGGATCCTGCAGTCAAATTGTATACATATAGGTACAGTTTTTTAGGAGTTTAAACATATTCTAAGAAAACCCTGTACCCTTTGTACCTTTTTCAAATCTTAAATGATAAAACAA